GAAATTTAAACTTCTCCAGGCTTGGGAGCCTTTAAAAAGCGAGGCCGGGGAGAAAAATCCGGCTGAGTTTTGTGGAGCCTTCAATAAAAGACCACAAATATTCAACAGACTTCATGAAATCCATGTCATGGTGTCCAACACAATGGAAAATCACAACCAGCTGCCCACCCCTGTGTTTTAGATCCAGAGTGGTGACACCCTTTGCCCTCTCCATGGCATGGCTGAGCCTCTGGCACTGCCAGGTGAGCCCATGGCATCACCACGGCCTGGGCAAAGGCATTCCAGGGAAAATATCCCGGGGAGAGTCCCCCTGAGCAGGGTGAGAACTGTGAACAAGGGCTCCATTCATGCACTCCCTTCCCTTGGGGGATCCCTCCCCAAAGCTTTGCTCCTTGACAAACCATTTCACAGCCAACTCATTTTAAACATTAAAAGCCACCAGACACTTGGAGCTGGACACTGGATTTTAGCATTGCCCAGTGATTTTAACATATTAATGTGAGAAAATATTAATGCTTTAATCACTTTTTTCTATTCTTACTCACACAGAGCTGCTTTCTACCCAAACCTGAGCACTCCCACGAGCACATTCCTGAGCTGCAGTTGGGTTAAGGTTAGCAGGATTTAATCTGCAGTAGCCATGTGAATAAAACATGCTTCCTGAAAATCTGCTGCCAATTGATTTGCCTTGTAAACAGATCAGCAGGGAAAAAAAAAAAAATGCTGGCTAGCCAAAGTTATACATTTTGTTTGCTCCAGCTACTCCTCCTTCTTTAATTTACCCTAATTTCCTCTCTCCTCCCATGATTAAAAAAAGATTACCTCTTGCTTCTCATGCCCTTAAGTGACCTCCATCCAATTCTTCAAGTCATCCAAAATTTTCCATCACTTGACACCATCAAATTAATGCTTCTTTCTAAAAATATATGCTGGAGAGCCAAGAGGCTGCAGCGTGGACAACCGACTGAGCTCCACGAGGTCTGCTGGCCCCAAACTCTGACTTTTTAATCTTCTGCCACTCATTGCTCAATCAGCTACACCTGATCCTTATCCCATTAAGGCCCTGGCACAGGTTGCCCAGAGAAGCTGTGGCTGCCCCTGGATCCCTGGAAGTGTCCAAGGCCAGGTTGGACAGGGCTTGGAGCAACCTGGGCTAGTGGGAGGTGTCCCTGCCCACGACATGGGCTTGGAATGACATGATCTTTAAGGTCCCTTCCAAGCCAAACCAGTCTGGGGTTCTGGGATTCCATGACCTGAGTTGCACCTCAAGGAGATCTTCAGGGTGTTTTTTCCCATCTCCTGCTGAACAATTCATTAACAGGAGATGAAATGTTCCCATCAGGAACGCGGGGGTTGGGACAAATCACTCGTAGGACTTTCCCCTCCTTTGTTTTGCTCTGTTAAAAGAGGGGTGGGCAACAGAATAAAACATTACAGGAAGGAGTGAGGCCACAGCTCAGGGCTGAAGTCAACCCAAGAAATTCCACCCTCTGTGCTCACTCCCACCTTCACCCTCCAGCTGACTCAGCTGCACTTTGTGAGCAGCTGTTTGCAAACCAGGTGACTGAAATCATCTGTGTGATTAAAACAAAAAAAAGAGCATTATTTGATACTTGGATTATTTCTGCCATCCCCTTTCCTTCACAACCAGCTGAGGTGCCACAGCAGCAGCTCAGAGGTGGCAGCACTGAGGGGGTGAGGAGGGGTTTTAAGGTGTCTTTGCTGCCAGTCAGTGAACCCCAGAACCACCACAAACCCACAGCTGTGCTGAGACAAGCCTGGTTTGCATTTCCTTCCAGGAATTCTGCCCCCTCCCTGTGATAAACTGCTCAGCTAATGTAAAAACCAAAAAAAAAAAACCCAAAAAAACATAAGGGAGGAAAAAAAAAATCTTTAGGCTAGAAACAAAGTTTGGTAACACATAATTAAACATGATGGGGTAAACACTTGAGTCATCAGGTTTAAAGTGTTTAAAATGTTCTGTGCTCAGGAGAGGTGGTTTCCTCATCAGACACTGCAATTACTCAGCTCTCTCTTCCCTGCCCCTTCTCCCTTCCTCTGCTCCTCCACACACTTTTATTTCCCTCCTGCCATGGGCACTTCTATTTTTTTTTTTAGCTTTCTTGTTACCTGTATTGTCTACTGGAGGGCAGATCTGCAGTCATTTAAACCAGCATTTACTCCTTAATAATCTAAAATAAATCAAAATTATCCTGCTTGGTTTCCCTTTAAATTTCTCCCTTGGCTAAAACGAAGCATTTACTGAAATTAAAGATACTGGTGCATTTACATTTGAGCACAACAAAAAGCACATTTGATGTACTTTGGACATCTCTGGAGTATTTGAAGGTGTTTTACACATCCAGTGTGTTCCACACTGTGGCTTCAACAACCCATATGGGGGAAAACAAGAATATCTTCATGTTTCTCCAGCCAGAAAATTCATTAATATGCACCAAAGCCCATCAACTAATTCTGTGTGTGTGTAAAGATGTTTGCTTTGTCACCAGGAACCAGCAGGCGTGTCTGCACAAACCTCCCCAAAACCCAAACTCATGTTCCTGCTTTTTGGGCTCTCCTTCAATTTGCAAATCTTGTAATCTAAGACTGGAGTTGACTGAACCAACCTCCAAAGCAGCAGGGATGTATCAGCCAAAAAACACAGTCTGGTTCCCATTTAATGTGTCAGGACTGCATCCTTTTCTGGGGGCTGTGAAAACTGTTGTTTTGAAAAGATTATGGAGTGAATCACGGGCTGGTTTGGGTTGGAAGGGGAACTTTAAAGATCCTCCAGTCCAACCCCCCCTGGGAAGACACTGCAATCATTCCACTGGGTGGAAAACCTGGCTTTGAAAGTACAAAAAATGTGTGGAGCAAAAGCCAGCCAGAAACACAGGTAGGAGGCAGAAGTTCCATCTTGTTGCTAAGCACAAAATGATGAGAATAGAACAAAAAAAATCTATTGTCAGCATCTGGAAATTAATAACAGGTAACAATAAAAACTTATTTGGAAATGCCAAAATCACCAGGGGTGTTCCCAGGAAAAGAGCAGCAATAGGTGCAAACTTGAGCAGAGGAATTAGAGGTCAGAAATCTGGAAGAATTAATAGGAAAAATCCAAGTGATGATCAAAGCTGAACTGTTTTTTTTCTCCAGAATCATTCCCTTTGGCACATGACCCTGACACGTTTTAGACAATAATCCAGGTGACTGGAGTAAAAATACCAAGTGCTCTGGAATAAATGCTGCAGGAGAAATGCAGTATTTTCTTCAGACTGATGATTAAGCATCTGTTTATGTGTCCACAACCAGAAAGGTTTACAGGAAACCAGAACAAAACCTCCAGTTAAGAGCAGAACTAAAATCCTGCTTGAGGTTCCCAACAGAGCCATTGAAGGGTCCTCCACAAATTGTTCCTTATGCACAACAGAAATATAATCAAATTAGCTGTGAATGTGACAGGAGAAGAAAGCAAGTGCAACACTCGAGCCAGTTTGAAAGGAGAGTGACTCCAGCTGAGGGCAAAGCATCAAAGATCTCTTCATGTGAGAGCTCCACACAGAAAAATGCTCTGAAAGGGCTCCCAAAACCAACCTGCAGCAAACAGGAAATACAGAAAAGTGTTCTGGGGTTTTCTGTTGCAAACTGGTTCTTTATCAATCCCCTTTTTTTTAATGATGGTTTTTCTGCTCACAGGGGAAAGTCTGGTTTTAAATTATCTGTTTCAGATATTTCACTGCTGATAAGAACTAACCCAAACCTCTCCATCCATTCTGAAAATATATGAGGGTTTGGGGTTTTTTTTGTAGAAAAGCAGAAACTACCCATAATCTTTGAATTATTTTCCATTAACTAAAGGAATACAATAATAAAATATTAATACAATAATACAATTATTAACTAAAAAGTGAAAATAATGACCCTTATAGTTTGTCCATTTCTGAGGTATCTCAGCTTCTAAAACCAGGGTGTGAAGGAAGGTTTTTTCCAACCAACACATCCTTTATACATATAAATACACTGCCTGGATTAAGACAAACTCCTACAAGAGCAATATTTACATCTCTGGTGCCACACACTCTAATTTATAAACAGTTATTCTCACAGGGTAGGGGAGAAAAGGAGAAAAAAAATCACCATAAACAGTTTTGCAAGTTGCAAACACGTTAAAAAAAAAATAATCACTTCTCTGCTGTGGCTTTTAATTTAAACATTTCAATGGGGTAACAATAATATTGTAGTTAAAACACAGAAATAAACCAGAGAAATCTGAAGGTTTGACAGTCTTCCTCCACACCCAGAGTGATTAAATCCTTAATTGAAAAAGGTGTGGCCCTGAATTAGTCTTACAACTGTAAGAAGATTTGCTTCAGCTGCTCAGCCTTTGAATGGCTGTGTAGGGGATTACCCCTGAAAAGCAAATATTTTCCTGTAGGTAGAGATATAAATCCTGTGCATTGTCTGAACTGAGGCATCAAACAGGCATAAAATATCTTAAGGGCCTCTTCTGAAGAGGAGAGACACAACCACACTGGCCAGAGAGACTGTAAACTCATTTTTCTAACTCAAAAGAAGTGGATTTAACACATATTTTGCTGATAAACAGTGTGTGGCTGTAACAATGAAATCATTTGGTGCTTGGAGTTCATGTGGGACGTGACTGCTGCTTGAAAGCATCTTCTAATTACTTTTTAAGACACAAAGATTGCTTTAGACACTTCACAATAATAATTCTGACCAGGATTAATGTCAGGAAAGGTTAATCATAGAACTGTGGTTACGCTGAGAATAAAATAAACTTAAAATACCTCTTTATTTACTTTACATCTCTTTTTTATTCCTTTCCAAAAGCTCAGATCATAGGAAAATGCCTGTTGACACACTGAAAAGGAGTATAAAACCACATCCCATGAGCAAAAAAAAGAAGAGAGCTTTAAAGATGTCATTTCCTGGGGCTTTTAGATGATGTTAAGATTTTCTATATGACTTTATATCCTTACCCAGAGGATCCAATGCTTTTGCACACACCAAGCAGGGGCCGTTTCTCAGAGAAATTATCACATTTCTGGGCACCTGGGAAGAGGGAAAACAAACAGTGAGACAGAGTTGTTTGTGCCACCTTCCCAAGCACAGGCAGGGGCCAAATCTATGGGGAGGATATTGAATATACAACATAAACCTGTGAATAGATAATATAAAGCCTGGACAAGAGCAGTGACAGAAACACAAATTACAGAACTGGCAGAGATGGGACAGAATAACAACACCAGGAGCAAAACCTGGCCAGGGCTGGGGAGTTATTTTGGTTCCTTCCCTGGGGGTTAAGGATTCTGTGAGTTTAAGGAGTGATATTTGCTGACTTTGCACTGTTTTATGAAGGACTGGCTGTGCTGAGGTGTCCCCAGCCCTGGGAGGGGTCTCACACCTCACTCTCCACCTTGTTCTGCTGAGGGGCAAGTGGAGCAAAGAGTGTCAGCCCTGAGAGAAACCCCTTCTCCCTCCCTGTGCCCAAGAGAACAACACCAGGTCACATTCACAGAAGTTCCACCAGCAAGAGATTTAAGCCTTTAAGAAAGAAACATCTAGTAGAGATTCAGGCTTCTCCAAGGGAAACCCCACCTCTAATGCCAGGTTTGATCTGGTTTTCAGAGTGGTTTCCCCAGCCCAGCCCCAGGTTGGTTGTGCCCTGCTCTAACTCAGCTGCTGGGCCAGTTTTCCCAGCCCTGGGATCCTCTCCCACCCCACTGATGAAAAGCAGCCCTGGGTGCCCCCGGGCTCAGTCACACCTTCACCCAGCACAGTCAGACTGTTAAAGAGGCCACACTTCTTAAAATTGGGCTTTAAGAGTTTGGAGAACTTTGCTTTAACTGCTGCACAAACAGAAATAAAACTGAAATTGAGCTGAAAAAAAAACCCTCTCCCTTCTGCCTGTGAACGGTGTTTTCCTGAATTCCAGGGCATGTTCCTCCCCAACTTAAACAGCAGAATAACAACCAACACCACCACTTCTGAATTTCCTCCGTCTTCTTTCAACCTTTGCCTTTTCCATTATCTCTCCATAGCTCTGGATGTGTGTGGTGAACAATGGAATTTCAATTTTTTTCCCCTCCCTTACACGCCAAACCCTTTGATCTCTAAAGAATATCAGTGATGTAGCCTGCTGAAAACTTAATTCTCAAATGCTGGTGCACAGCACTAAATCATTTATTCAGAAGGGCACAACAATTAACAATATACATTTTCACATAGCAGACTCTGTTAATTATTAGTAACTCGGGTACATGCACTTAATTTGTAACAAACACTGTTCAGTCCTCTCATTTTTAGGAGGAGAAGTCTTCCCTCCTACACATTTGGGTATTTAGAAAAAGTCAAATGGGTCCCATCAATAACTCCAACATCAACAATAGCTTTGCAAGTAACCTAAAACAGCCAAATGGATTTTCCTTTTATTCCTATTATTTCAAGGCCTTTTGTGAGTCAAACCTGGACTGTATGTACTGACCTGTGAATTGATAAATGAAACATGCAGCCTTCTTAAAATCTGGCAACCCCTTTGTTGCCTTCATGTGCAGGGAACACATGAATTTGTTCTGTTCCCTCAGTGAGGGGGAAATGCTGGTTACCAGGAGTTCTGACACTGATTTAAGTGGAGCCAGGATTTCACCTGAAGGATTTAACTCTCCTTTTATTCTTTTTTTTAGGGTTTAATTTAAGGTTTATTAGAACGAATTCATACGTTTCTTTAGGGTGTAGTTCTCAGTTTAACGACAAGGAAGGGGAAGAGAGGTGGTGGGGAGCAGAGGGAAACCAAATCCAAAGGAATGCCAGTTTTAATCCCCACGGCACAGATGTGCAAAATTTCTACAATAGGTGCTTAAACTTCTCATTTTGGTCTGTAACCACCAAGGCCTTCGTTTTTTTAAAAAAAAAAAAAATCCATTTTCTCCTCCAAATACTTTCAGAATGGAAATATTAATACTGTGGAAAAGGATCACTGTGGTGAGGACTGGGAGGGCACTAAATCAGGTTAATAGCTGCCCCGTTCATGGGATTGCAGAGTGCCATGTGTTGGGCTCTGTGCTGCTTAATGGAGGCAGTTCTGGGGTGGGATTTAATCCTCCAAGTTGTGGGGGATTAATTCTCATTTGTAAAATTGTGTTTATTTGCATGTGTGATGCACTGAGGTTGCACACACCTGCTGCACACACAGTGTTTAACGAAATGCAGGGGGATGATTGAAATGAAAAGCAGCTCCCTAAATCCCCCCAAATACAAAAAGTATTGAAATCCTGTTGCAAAGTCTCTTTCTTAAACTCCTTTTATTCTAAATCCTTTTAATTCTGTCATATAACACTACAGCATTTATAAAATGCTGAAAATCCTGACAAATCACACAATTAAAGTAATGAAAACTGCCCTTCCTGCCAACGAGGCACCACCTTATCTACAGCTCCATTTAGCTAAATGATGTATGTTTGGGGTTTTTTTTAAATGTAACTTCAGTTAGGAGACTTAAAATTGAAAAAAAAAAAAAACAAAAACACATCTGTGGCTAAAGGAAATGTCACACAAATCAACATTTAGAACTTTATGAAGTCAAAAGGTTATCCACACGTAAGCTCAAAGCAGCTTAAGCACTGTCCTGATGAAACTGTGAACAGAGATTTTGGGGCCTGCTAAGGCCTCCCAATAGTGCCAATAATGAGAGCAACAGCAACAACAACAGCACATCTTTATGCAGAATAAAAATGAACCCCAGTGATTTAAACAGCAACTCAAAAGCTGCTCAAAGCTCTGAAAATTCCCCCCATTTCCCAGGAGTAAGAACTGGCTGTGTTTCACATCTATTCAGCAGTGGCACATTTGCACCCTGGGCTGTGTTTCTCTGCTCTGTAAGTCCATTGCTCAGTCCCAACACAGCCAGTTCACAATGCAGTGTATCCCCTGCCTGACTGAACCCCTCCTATTTCCTCCTAGTCCTCGAAAATCAGGTTGCATTTGTGGTCCTGCCCCACATCAGCACAGCAGCCAAGCAGAACCCGGGAATGCACGAGGCTGGAATTCACTATGTATGGCTTCCATTCCCTCTTTTCCTGCTTCTTTTCATGACTAGAGGGTTGATTAAAAAAGAAAATATCTTTCTTGCCATTTCTCAATCGCTCTGATTTTGTGTCTGCTTTCTTATGGAACACAAATGAAAAAAAAAAAAAACCAAACAAAAAACCCTTGAAAGAGAAGTGACTCAAGTCAGTCCTAAAAACAGTGGGTGAATTCTTCCCCCAGCTCCAGGGCAGCACCTACAAACCCTCCATTTCCTGCAGGGATGAACTCTGACTGCATCACTCCCTACCCTGCCTGATCAGTGGTGCTGTGGCTGCTGCCCTCACCCCAGAAATTCAGGTGCTCCTTTAGGATTCACGTTCCTGACCGTGAACATCCCGTTATCCCACCTCCCTTAACTCCCAGCACCACCCAGGCACTCCAAGTTTTAAAAGTCCCTCTCCAGCGTCACAATACCTGCTTTTTACACCCCCAAAAAAGTTATCATCCTAAAAAAACCCCTTCAAACTCCTGTTATTTCCAGCTCTGCTCCCTCCTCAGCCCATTCCACCCTCCCACTTCCAAGACAGTGAAGTCCAAGAAGCAACAGTGGCTGGAGAACATGATCTTGACAGCTCTGCCAGACACTATAGAAAGTTGGGGTTTCCTCTTTTTTTTCTGCCAGCATCATAGTTTTAGTCTCTGATAATTATACAGCTTCTCTACAAAAAAAAAATCTTAAAAATGATCTTGAAACATTTGTTAGAGATCAACGTTTCCAGAGTCCCTCAGGAACTGAAGATGGATAGAAAGATTTTATTTTGATTGAATCTTGTTTGAAAAAACTACTTAAAAGACCTACCAGTCTAACTGGGTGAAAGTTTAAGGGGTGCTGGTCGTGATGTGGCCAAAACTGAAATGGGGGCAAACAGGTCAGTCCAAAGCTTCAGAGAAATTGGTATTTTAAAATGCTGTGCTCCAAAATTCTCCCCTGTAATATCTGTGGGAACCTTACTTGCTGTGCTGGGCAATTCCATCCTGTAATTTGTGCAATCCAGGGACATTCATTATCCCAGAACAACCCACAGAACAGGCAGAGGACACCAAAACTCAAACACCTGCAGGACCCACCTCCACCAAACCAACCCCGGTCCCCAGTGCTGCTTGTTCAGCTTTGCAGGGCCAGACAGAGCCTGGAATTAGTTTGGCCTTGGGGGATCTCAAACCACTGAGCCACCCACGTGGCTGAACAGGCACAACCCTCACATCTGCCTCCCTTTAGAGAGCAACCCAAATATCAGAGTTCTGTGAGTGTACCTGCACAGAAACCTGAGTCAGCTCTGGAGCCTCAAATCCCGTTTTCTCAACACCAAAGATGGGAGCAGTGGAGAACAGCAATAAATCTGCTGCAAAATTGCAACTTTCAACAGTTTCTAGTCCCTCTGATTTCTTTTATTTCCTTTCCTGTTTGCTTTCTCCCCATCCCCCTTATCAGTCAATTTGACTAAACAGTCCAGTTCCCTGGGAGATGCAGGGCTATAATACCATCTTCCTGCAAGCAGCACAATCTAGAAAATGGCAATAAATTAATTCAGCTGGCTGGGGGAATTTATTTTCATAATGCTGAGACGTGGAAATAGGTTTTACAGACAATGACTGATCTAAACTCCATCACACAAGCCTGTCACCGTGTCCCTCTCCCCAGGAATTCCCACACACAGTGCTGCTCCTGCAGCTTTCCAAGCTTCTGGATTGATTTTTAAATGGGACAGCACAAAGCAAAGCAGGTATTTGGCCAGGGGGCTGTAAAATGACCTGGGGTAAGGAATGAAAAATGGGAGGCTGTAGCACTGACTTACTTCAGAAAGCATCAATAATCTGATTTTGCAGGTAAAAGAAAGCAAAGACAACTGAAGTACATGTATTATTTCCTCAGCACTGATCTTACAGATATATCTGCAATGGACCCCAAAAATGAAGTCAAAACACAACACATTTTTAAAACTACTAAAAGAGCTCTGAATCTTTTTTTATCAGTGACTTTTGCTTGGTTCTCTCACCATCTCTAACTACAGTGATCTTCCCAACTGCAGTTTCCTCTTCACAGAGAACTGTAGCTACATTGAACTTATTTTTTACTGAGACAGAAAACCCCAGTGCCCAGCCCAGCAGGCACCTGGACACAAGGAAATAATGCTGAAATAATGCCAGCACCCAGCTTTGGAAGGGAAGAAGAACCAGGCAAGCTCAGATGGCTCAGCAGGTATTACCTGTGGCACAGCAGTGCCAGGGCTCAGAAATCCTCTTCCTAAGGCTGAAATTATTCTCTCATAGTCTAAATATCAGCTCTGCAAGCCCAAAATCTGGTCAGAGTGAAAAGCTTCAGTCCCCAAGAAGGCCATTTAAACTGTCAACTGCACAAAGTAATTAAAGCCATGTCTCCTGTCGAAGGCACTAGTAGGAACAGCCTGACCCCAGAGAAGAGTTGAAAGATTTTTAGCATTATTTACAGAGATCTGTCCATTTTTCATGGCCAGGCTGCAGAGCAACCCTTGCCATGGGCATGAGACATCAAAGCTGTGCAGTGCTGGGCCAGGTCAGGCCTTGCCTGGTCTGTTGGCTCAGCCTGGCAGAGCTGCCAGGTCAGAGCAGCTCCAGGAGCCCCCGAGCTGCCCCGGCCTGGCACAGCTCCTGAGCACACAGACCTGCCCACAGCCCAGCTGGCAGCTGCCAGGGCCACCTCCAGGGCCACGAGGAGCACTCAGAACCTGCTCCATCAGGCTGGAGGAGGCCTCCTGTGCAGGAGCCCAGCTCAGCTGGAACACTGGGGCATTGTGCCGGGCAGCGCCCGCCGCAGCACAGGATCTCACATCAAAGGATCACAGGGTTTGGAACAGAATAGTTGACAAACTATTAAGTTCTGCTACTGTAAAGTCACCAAGTTGAAGCCATGAGCTTTCCTTTCACACCTGGGAATGAGCTGCTTATCACCAACTAAGATCTGTTTTCAGGAACGTGCCAAAATCCATCCACCCGGAGATTCCTATTTTCAATAATTCCCTTTTTACAGCTTTACAGTAAAATAGTGTTTGAGCCTGCTGATGGTAATCAGCTTCTCCTTTACAAACTCCTTTTATTTTGTTCAGAATCATTAAAGCTCATGTGTTAGTTATCTAAGGCCTCTTATTACAGCTTTACTTTTATCTGATTCCAGATACTGGTCAATGATACATTCATGTACTTTTAATCAAAGATTTATTTAAAGCAAGCCATGTAAAAAGAGACCAAAACATGTTTTTAAAAGGTTTGGCTTAATTTAATATGAGCTAATTTGAATAGTTTTCTAATGTAACAACCACCATTGTCAGATTCTAAATACATGGAATTTAGAGACAAAAAGACAGTAACTTCTTGAAGGAGTTCATGAGCAGTGGAAGTTGACTGAAAAACCAAAAAGCACTATTTTATTGTCAGAAAAAAATAGAACTTGCAGGTTCCTCAGTTAATTCATCTTCATTTCCATTTACACTTCCCTTTCTCCTTTTTTCCCCCCCCCTTTGAGAGAGGAAGGGGCATAGACATCCCTTACTTAATACATATAATAGCAAAAGACCAGCTCATCAGGAATTGTGCAGTGTTCCTGTAAATGGAATGAGAGGCACAACATGCTTGGGAAGTATTTTACCTTGTTATTTTAACCTATAGTAGTTACAGAACCACATACACTCATGCTTTGTATATTCCTCTGCTCAGAAAAATCACCAAGACAACAAAAAATGAGTCCATTAAACCTTGAACTTTCTCCTTTTGTTTTCTTTGAAGCACACAAAATTATTATAATTTACTGGGTTTGTAATACTTTGAACAATTAGATTTTAGGCTGTTATTTTTTGAGTTCACTAATTAATTCATAACTTATTACTGAAAATTGTAATCCAGCATAACCCCAAAACACCTTGGTCATATCAGATGTTGGCAACCCATTTAAACCAGAGCCCAACAGCTGTGAGGCCTTTCAGAACTCTACAATTAGATGGTGTTTGGACTGAAGAGGGTCATTTTTAAAGGGATTTGCTCATTGTACAGTTGCTTAAGTTTTGCATCAAGTTCTTCCAAGGGTTAACTCAATTTCTGGAACAATCCTGTTAAACTAAGCAGCTTGGCTTAGGACTTGATAAACCAGTATTTAAGCAGGGACAGAGAGGAGGTGCCTGTTGGCACTCGAGGGATGACAAGAGTTCAACCCCTAAAAAGGTCAAACTGAGGAAAGTTTACATAAAATTGAACAAAGCAGAAGCTAACCCCCAAAAAAACCCCACATTCTGTTGTTTTGTTATTTCTACTAGAGGGGAAAAGAAGCTTTTCTGAAGAAGTTCTGCTGGATTATGAACCACATAACTCAGAACTTACTGATTTGTGGGGCAGGTAAAATCCGGGCGGCTCGAACGGGCCCGTGGCGGATGGAGAAGAGCTCCTGAGCTTCACCACTGATCTGCAAAACACAAGGGCTGTGAGCAAACAGCATAAAAACCCACAGATACTTATAAAAATAGACATATTTAGACAGTAGGTACAAAGACACTGTAGCAAAGGGAGGTGGGGAAGGAGGTTGGGAAGACTCTGCCTTTCAAATGAGACTCCTCTAAAAGAGAACATCTCTTGAATTAACTGTTGGTGACTACACATGTTGTGGAAGAAGCAAGGCTTGAAGGGGACTGCTGAGTAAAACTCACAGAAATCCAAGCAATCTGCCACACAAGCATCTACCCCACATTTCACCTGCTTCTGAGAAAGATGCCAACTGCCCGGTGCCCGAGGGCGGCAAACACGGGGGGTAAGAGACGGGAGAATCCCGTGTGTTGGTTCATTCCAGGCCCACCAGGTGTGAAAACCATGGATAAAAATAGGTGGGCAAACTGCTGAAGTGTGTCACTAATGGCAAATCTTGAAAAGATTAAGCCAGGAGTGGTTAAAAGATGGATTTGCAGGCTTCCTGCAACGGTCAGTCAGAGCGTGTTTTCATGACTGCCTGGTAACGGATCCGACACGGAACGTCAAACTCCAGGAAAATGGCAAATGTTATGAAGCTCATTTCCAACCAACCAACAGCTTAAAACAGATGTAATGAGGCTCAGAGCACAGCCAAGGCTGGCACAGAGTTCTGCCAAACAGGCAGCTTACAATATCAGAGGGGAACACGATTTGGAACGAGGTTCTTAGGAGTCAATAAACCGTAAATTCAAGTGAACTTTTGGAAATGTCACTTTATGGCTGTTTCCATTTCTTTCTGCACTCCAGCTCACACGTTCAGAAAGTTTAAATGCTCCTACTGTTTGACCAACAAATCCTAAATGCAGCACTCCAGGCTCTCAGCTCAAGTCTAGTCTAAACCTCAAGCCTGGTTATTTATTATCATTGCTCTGGATAACGTGGAGAATGAACCCCACCCCAGTGAAGCACAAGGTTTAGGAAAATTACTTTGAAAACACTATTTACTACAGAGCCAGCCCACCTTTCTGCACACAGCAACCCAATGTAGAGAACTCCTGCTTTTCCCTGTTAAGCCTCGAATAACAAAGCTACACAAATGTGGGGAAATCACATTTTAAGCCATTTTAGCTTTGCAGACAGGTAGCAGTTCCACTGAAATCCAGTTGGCATTCAATGATATCAATTACCACTGCTGTTAGTGACACCATCAGAGTTATTCCTGATGAACAAAACCAGTTTTAAAACTCTAATCAATATGAGAATTCATCCCTTGGCCTACCCTTCTCTTATTTTATTAGCCAGATGTTCTCTGATCACAGTGGATTCTCCTCTGCCCTCCAGCAGCATCCTCTGAACACACATTAAGGTGCTTCAGCTTTTGCAAAACAAGTTTAATTCTCTCCCAGGGACAGCCAGAGGCCTCTGCTCTGAACAGCTTCTCCACCAGATTCTACACAAGACACAGGAATGATGGTCAGGAATCAGCTCAGTGAAGGTTTCCTGATTGATTTTAACTGCTGGTGAGCTGGGAGGGCAGTGTGGAAAAAAAAAAAACCCATCAAGATAAAAACATCTGCATCCAGAAAAAACAGCTTGGAAAAATGTAGAGCACAGCTAAGCAGAAAATGAGAAAAAATTAAAGAGAGAAAGAGCAATAAAGAGATGAAAAAACTGAAGACAGCAGCACGTTCTCTATTCATCAGAACACAGCAGCTCTGGGAAAAGGGGAGGGAGGAAATGGAGAAGAAGAAAAATACAAGGGTTTTGGAACTATTATTATTGGCAATTAAAGCTTTTTTTCCCCTCAAATGGTGAAAATGCTGTTTCACACGTGTCTGCACAACACTGGCCACGAATGAAAACAGGAGGGAAAGGAACCAGCACAACAAAGGTACGGAAGGAGTGATTCCCATAAAATACCCCAACCCAATCCAGACAGCTCCTGCTCCTTTCTAGCTCTGCCAGCACATCAGCCCCAGCTCCCATCTACTTCCAATAAAGTGCTGGTCCCCAAAGGAAGGCACACTAAGAAGGCCAAACCCTCTCAGCTCAGGTTCTGCTCTTAAATATCCTGAACTCCAGGAGTCTGTTTATTTAGACTGGGATGCCAAGACCTGGTAGAGCTTAAAGCTGAGATTTTCAAAGAAAAGCCTAAAATGTCCAAATACAAATGTAGTTCATTTGTTCTGAAGCATTTAACATGAAAATCCCAGCCCAGCTCTTCTCAGGCATGTAATGCTTTTACTTTTTAATAATTAATAATCACTACTTGAAAGATAATTTATTATTTCATACTGGGGGGAACTGCCAGAGAGAAAGGTTCAGTGGAATAACCAAAGCTACAGGATCTGACAGTGGCAAACATGAGATTATAAGTATTTAGCTCCTGTTTTGAGACCACTGCAATGTTTAATACTGCAGGGTAACAGGTCCTTTCCTCTCTGCCTGTGTAGGATCCTACATTGTGGCATGGTTTGGTTCCAAAAACCTTCAACTCTACAGCTCATGTGCTCCTGGGAGCAAAAAAAAGAGTAAATTTTAAGACATGCCCCCACTGGAGATTCTATAATGAAAATACAAGATGCCACCCAACCACTGGTATCTTGTTTGTGAAGGAAATTCAAATTCAGCAACAGGCACCAAAAGGAAAAGTCTACAAAAAGTCTGGACCTACAACATGGAGCAAATTAAAACACTAATATTTAACCCCTAACAGGGTTTTTAAGGATTTAAGTTGTGTGCCCTTCACTGTTCTATAGACAGGGACTCACAGAAGGCTTTGCACATTGTTGTGCCATGAATTAGTCAGAGCCTGGTTGTGCCTTGGTTTGCTTGGCACTGAAAAATGCATTAGGGCTTTGAGTTCAAGATTTCCTCTGACTTTAATGATCTTTTTTTTAAACACTACTACCAGCAGCAGAAGCTTCAGCCATTTGCAATCTCCTAAAATTCTGAATTAACTGTGGTTAATGTTATGGCCTTCATTTATCTGTGGATAACACAGACCTTTATCACCAGTGCTGAGGCCACACAGATCAAACCTGTCTCTTCAGGGGAGAGGGGCTGGGTGGGCTGATCTTCCTGCCAGTTCAGCCCTGAGACAGCCATGAGAGAGCTGAGTTTTCCTGTGAATGGGACACTTATTCCTCCAGGAACTCAGGTGGGACAGGGGACCCCAGGCAGCCCCACCAGCTCCCTCCCTGCCAGCCCGGGGCACACGTGGGCTGGGCAAGGCTCAGGAAAAAGGCTCCACATCCCATTACCAGTCCCTGGAGCTCCACAGTCTCACACATGCACAGACAAAACATAAATAGACTTTGTGAATTGAAAACAGAGCTGTAAATTCTTCAAAAAGCACCTGTGAGGAGCGGGGCTGGGGCTGCCATTCTGGACGGGCTCCAGCTAAGTAGCAAGTCCCCGTGGCAGCTCTCAGAGCTCTTAAAAAGGTTTTCCTTTCCCCATTCCAAAAGCCAAGAATCCTTCCCCAAGCAGGTTTCAAGAATTGGATATTAAGCTGTAAAAGCAGCTCCAGGTACTTGTTGTGTGGAAGGGGGAATCCAAACTGATGGCTCCAAGCTGGTCTGAGAGAACATCTCAGCTTTCCACAACTCCCAGGCCTACGTGGAAGGCTGGAAGCAAAGAACACATGGATTCACATCCCAGCCCCCACTGAAGTCTTCAGCACCATGTTCCAATGCCAGACTGAAGGAGGAAGAGCTCCTCTCTCCTCCACTTCAGACATCTTGAGTTTAAAATATGACAGCCCAGAAATCTGGAGCGCTGGTTAATTTTCGATGACAGAGCTGCATTGTTTGGAACATACCAGTTTGCACCCATCAAAAACACTGAACAAAGGAAGTTTTGTTCACACCAAGGGTAAACTAATAGTTTCCAACCATAGAAAATGGTTTTCACATGGTGGGGGGAAAAAAAAAATAATAAAAAAAAGTCAAACATACACCAAAGTGAAAGAAAATTGAGTTCGGAACTCGATGTTTAAACTTCTGTGCAACTATAGAAAAGGAAACTGGGGAGTCTGTAAAAGGAAAAGGGAATGAACTGGGATTTTATGACAATAAGCAATTGACAGATACCACCACAAAATATTGCTGGATATAATCACACTGGGTTAAAGACAACTTGCAGTCATTGCACTAAGAAGAGAGTAGGGAAGGACTGGAAGCAAAAGGATAAACTTTAACACTTTAGTTTAGAAATTCAAACAGTCTGCATTTCCATTCAAACCAAATATCTTTAATTATCTAGAGATCATAAGGATTTAGATGCTCAAAGGATGTTACAGACATCTACTCTAGTGACTGGACTGAGTGTGAAGTGGCACCCAGTACTTTAAATTATGGCAGTGCTATTGATAACTGTGTAAGGCTATAAAAATTTCTTGCACACTGTGCACACATCCTCAGTGTGAAAACCCCAAAGCCTCAGAAAATTGTTTGTAAAGTCCCTCAGACATTTCCCAGGGTTACTAGGTCAGGTTTTTATTTCATTTTTCCAAGTGGCCAATGCAAGCCTGGACAGTGGTTCCCTCTAGCAGGAGGTCTGGACAGAGGAAGGATTGCAGCTCAGGATACCACAGCCTTGGAGTATTTTTGCTAAATACACATCTGTGCTTGTTATTAAAAGTCCCCTTTGGTAGTTCCTGCTTTATTCAACTCCAGCTTGATCTTTCCTTTTTAATTCCAACATGAGCCACTGAATTAAGACGATTTTTCCACTTTTGAAACGTCCAGCCTGCAACGAAACAAAACTCATCTGCCCCAAAAGCAGCCAACGTGCATTCCCTGAACAGGAACATCCAGAGCAGATACTTGGACACCACATGAGGCAGAAACCAGTTCCAACCGTGCTCGAAACAGAGAGCTGGGAGCGAGGGGAGAACCGAATTCCAAACAGAACCGCGCCGCGCAGTTATCAAATAGGAACTCCCAGCCTCGCTTTGGTGCATTCCCAGATTTCTCCCCGCTCGGTGAGGCGGATTTTAAGAACACTTTTAACCTTCCCACCCCCATTTCCAAACAGAGATCAAAGCAGAGCCCTTTTGGACGGGCACCTTCCGCTCCTTATGCAACAAAGGCTGCGCTCCCAACCCCGCTCCCGGGGTTCCAGACACCACTCCCGGCCCTTTGAAGCAGCTTTAATGGTATCTCCCATTTGCAAAGTCACACCCGTGCAGTCAAAGACCTGAACTCCGAGGAGATGTTAATGTGAAAGCACTCAGACTGCAGAGAGAGCTGCCGAGGTGTGGGCAAGTCAATGTAACACCATTACCGGGGAGTGTGGGCTTAGGACCTGTCATAAACACTTCATAATCACTCACCCACCAACCCCACCGCCTGCAACACCTTATTAAGTGCTGAATAGAGCTTCAATTGTAGGAATAAAAAAAGCACAATGCTGCAGATAATGGCCTTCCCGAGGAGATTTTCACATAAATGTCAGATTGTTGCTTTTTCGGATTAAAAGCTTTTTTTTTTTTTTTTATAAAGTGGAGAATGCAGGGTGGTGGTTTTTGGGGTTTTCCCCCCCCCCCCTTAGCTGGAATAACATTGCTTAATTACAAGCTAAATACTCAGCAAGGCCAAGTAGAAAGGTTTGTCTGATACCAAAGGACACAAAAAAGTGTTGCCAAATAAGCTCTTAAATATCAAGTCAATCACACAACTGCCAAATTTTGTTGTGCTCGAACTAAATGAGTGAAAAAATGCAAAGGAGAAACAACAATGTGGACAAAACCCCACCGGGTTATGCTCCTTCTGGATGTGTTGGATATACAAATCCTGCTCTGAAAAGATATTTAAAACTGATGTTAAGGACTGTGACAGTCCCCAAGACCATCTTACTAACACAGGAACCACTCCAACAGTGAATTTGTACTGACAAAACCTGCACAGGTCCGAGTTGAACATCCCTGGATGAGGCCTCAGAATTTCACAGAATGTACAAATGAAGGGCTGACAAAGTGATCCAGTATCTCTACAGCTGATATTCTTAAGGCTGATGGCAAAACATCTCCAAGTTTGGCATTTTCTGCATTTCACTGCCCTTCTCCCCTGCTCATCACAAATACTCCTGCAAAACCTGAACAACGCTCAGAGAAACTGCCCTGCAATTTCAGTTTTGCTATTTTTTTTCTCAAATACTAAATACCAGCAAAATCTAGGAATTAGGAAGAAGTGAAAAAAAAAAGAAAAAGAAAAAAGACAACCTGGTTGTATGGTCCTACTGAAAAGAATGTAAAAAAGAAGGTAGAAACAGCCCAAATTGTTGCTCATTCAGATGTGAAGATGAGGGGGGGGGGAAGAGAAATGAGGGAAAAAAAAGAGAAAAAAATGAGAAAAAAAAAAGGGAAAAAGAAAGGAAAAAAAATCCATAAACCTGAAGAAAACCCTTCTTCCCCATTAGGAGAAGTAGAAATCTGTATCTTAATGCACTGCCTGGCTGACAGTGACACTGAGGACTCTAAGCCAGGACAAACAAAGTCGTTTAACTTGTCATTTATGGGCAATCTCCATCAAATTATTTCACATTCACTGCAGTTTAGACGCAGGCAGGGAATGCAGGGCTGGCTACACCGAGGTGATCGTCCCCATCCCAAAGAACTGAAACACTTCATTCTTCCTTCCCTCACCCAGGTGAGATCCAACCCCACTCTGACAGAGTTTGGACACAAAGCCCTTCAGGAGAGGGGCACAGAACCGTTCCAGATTTATGTCAGACGAGAACATTTCAGCTGGATAAAACAGGGTGTTCTGTAAGGATTCTTTAGCTCAAGATGTGCTCCTGAGGGTGCTTTAATTAATTAATTAATTAATGAAGCGCCCGTCGCTCGGTGTCGCAGCGGCCCCGTGTGGGGGGTTCGTGTAAATGCACCGCGACACAAAACCACCTCAGGGACCCGATTCCCTGAGTTTTCACGGAATTACGGGACGGGTTGGGTGGGAAGGGACCTTAAAGATCATCTATTCCACTCCTTGCCATGGGCAGGGACACCTCCCACTAGCCCAGGTTGCTCCAACCTGGCCTTGGACACTTCCAGGGCTGGGGCAGCCACAGCTTCCCTGGGCAACCTGTGCCAGGGCCTCGCTGCCCTCCCAGCCAAGAATTCCTTCCCAACATCCCAACTAACCCTGCCCTCTGGAAGTTTGAAAGACAAAATCCAGTGTAAAAGCAGATTTTTTTTAAAAATTATTAAAAAAAAAAAAAAAAAGAGTGTCCAAGGCAGCTTTAGTGTCTCATTTCAGCTTTAAAAACATAAAATATAAACCCGACTCTAAGTTAGGTTTTGCTCCTCTGAAAACAAACCCAGGATTGGTTGAAATGTCCCTAATTTTTGGATTAAGCTCCTAAATTTTAGCAAACAGTTACAAAATAACGAAATTTAGTGAAGTATATGAGGTGTTACTCCATCTCTGTCAAACCCTCCATCCAATGCAAAAGCCCAGCAGCTTTTTTTTATTTCCTCATCTCCGGCCAAAAAGATGCAATCAACAGGGGAAAAAAACTCCCACACTTCCTGAAACTCAATTTAACTGAACTTTAGGTGTAGAAATTAACTTTCTTTTTTCTACAAACTACTGCTACACAAACATATGTCCTACTAAGGCAAACAAAAAGTTGGGAAAATGTACATATTTCTTAAAAAAAAAAAAAAAAGGCATTTTAAAAAGGCAGAGAACTCCATCCTCTCTCCTTTATTCTGAAGGGCAAGGTGTCATGAGCCACTCTGCTTTTTCAAGCTAAGAATTTTATGACCTGCTGTCTTAAACTTTATTCTGTTGTTTGGTGAAATTTGGGGTAAATTCCCCCAAATCAGGACCACGTGCCCATGAACTACTGTGCAACACAGGTTGTGACAGCATGAAATCAAAGCCATGTGCACACAATTAAAACTAAAATTTAATTTTAATTAATTAAAAAAATATTTTTTTATTAATTAAAAATTAATTTTGTTAATTTTAACGAAATTAAAACTGCAGATCACACACATGGCAAATGTGACTGTGGAATATTATGAACACTGTCACACACCTGCATTGCTGGGACAAACAAGCCCTGTTTGTGTTTTTTTCCACCCTTATTCTCTTCTGTTAAATAAAAGATCTGCCCCTTCTGGGCTACAAATTATTCCCTAACGTCAAACACAGCTCTCAGTTTAAGTCTCAAAGTGTATTTAACACAAATAATGTGTAAAAAACCCTCCAGTGTGAAGGTACATGAATTCAAGTGTTTGATCTGTGCTCAGTGTTATCCTCAGACAAGCACATTGCACACAAGCCACGTGATCCTGATGGGAAATATTGGCTTTTGGCACTTCAGAAGGAAAAAATTAAAAGTAAAATGTTAAGGTAGCAGCACAACACAGAGAGAAAACCCCCTGGCAGGGAGGAGAGGTGAGCTCTGTACTCACAGGGATGCTCCAGACTTGCATTCCATCACTGTACCCAATCAGCAGCAGCAAGGGGGGTTCATTCCCAGTGCTGTGGATTTCATGGAATTCCATATTCCTGGATGTATCTAAAAGGGGGTTAAACAGCAAAGCCATTAGGAGCAGGTCAGGAACATGAGAGGGTGTTTTCTCACTGCCCCTTTCTGCTGGCAGAAGTTAAAGCAACCAAAGGGGCTGAAATTTTAATGCTGGAACAACACCAAAATATGTTCTTTAATGCAAACGTTAAAGACTTTTAACAGAGAAGTTAAAAAGCTTTAAAATTTAAAACAATGGAGAAAAATATTCTGCATTACAACATGGGTTATTTCTTCCTCCAGGGATTAAGGAAACGTGGCAAACTTTTTAAATAGAGAACAAATTTGCACAGCACCAACAAAATAAACATTAACAGATAGAGAAATTACAGAAATGCACAGACTGGGCAGAAGTATTTGTAGGTGTGTTCAATTAATTAAGAAGTAACTACCTGATTGCAGCATCCAACCACTTCTCACTCAGTCCCTACCCTTCCTTTAAAAACCAGGGAACTGGGATAGACCAGTAGAACAGCTCAGAGCTGAAGTGGGAATTAATCACCATTTCCTCTTAAAAAGGTTGGAATCTGTTTTCTGCCCTAAGTCAGCAGGGATGATTTACTGATGTACACTGGAAGTGATAAACAAATTACCTTTTAAGAGTATTTTGTGGCTTTGCTCTATTATTTCTCTCAAAGACCTCCTGGAATCTCCTGCTCATTTTATCCAACTGCTCTTCCTTTCCAGGTGACTCCGAGTTCTGTCACACCACTGAAAACGTACCTGGGACCTGGACTGGATTCAGTTACAGAATGTGGCTTTGAAATCAAACTGCAGGTGACATAAATTCAGTTCTATGCTTTTGTTTTCAACTACCTTAAGGAAAATAAATGGATTTTTTCCTAATTTGCATTTCTTCCCAAGCAAGAGTTTGTTTGCCTTCAGATGAATCACGAGGCCTATTGACTCTGTTTGGCAGGTACTGGGCAAAAGTGCAGCTATCACTTAGAACTTAGGGAAATTAAATACTTAATTTGGAGTCAGCAATGCTCATGGATAAAACTGACTGGAATTATTGTACATGGACCCCCCAAAAAAATCATTAAAATAATGAGGGGAAAATGAAGCCATACCATTTAAATCTGCATTTTCAAATCTGACCCAAACAATCTTCTCCTTTTCTTCTGGTGGGGTCCCACTGTAGGCCTGGACAAAAAAAGCAAAAGGGTTGAAATAAGTAAGTTTAACATCCTTTTTTTTTTTTTTCCCCTCCCTCTCTAAGAGGGAATGTAAGTTAAAAAAGAAAAACCTGATCCATGTGTCTCGTTGTCCCCAGTATTCCTGGGAGGTCTGGGTTTCAGGAATGAATGTTTCCATGAGCAACATAACCATGTTAAACACCACTTACTAATGCAGGAATGACAAAATATACACAGCAATCAATGTGCTGGGGCAGGTCAGAAATGCCACATGAATTACAGCAGGTTAGTAAAGTTAAATACAGTGGCTTCTATAATCTTTACCTTCAGCAGTTGTACACTGCTTCCAAAAGCAGTGTTAGAGCTCTCACATGAGGTGTTTTATTATTAAAATCCTCTTTCTTTCACTTAAAAGCTTTGCAAGCAAGACTGAGGAAAGAAAGGGACCTTTACAGGACATTTTATTCCACTGCCACCTTTCAGGTCCGTTTGTGACACCTTTAATGCAGCCATTTAAAAGAGAATCAACTCTTAACTCCAGCAGAACAGATCCAGGTTTCAGTTCTGGGTTCCACACATTCCCATAAAAAGATGAGACACAAAAAGGAACTGTGGAGGAGCCCCTGCAGTGCTTCCAAGCTGGAGGTTTTACAGTTCTCAGGAGAAGCTGTGGTGGGGAGAACGTGAGCTCCAGCAGAAATACCAGCACTTCCAAGTGAATTACAACAAAATGCTGAGCAGTATTTGGGATTAAATATGAAAAGAGCCTGTATAATCACTTCACACATTGCCAGAAAAGCAATAACATGAGCTAAAAACACCCAAATCTGAAAAATAAGCGTGGGGTTTTACTTTTCAAAACAAATCACATTCCGGGCTTGCAAAGGCAAAACTGGTTTGGGAAATAAAACACAGGCTGGATCCTGGAACTCCAGAGGGGGAAAGGGGTGGCTGTGGAATGCAGCAACCTCCTAAATGAAAGCTGGACTATGCTTAATTTAACCCTGAGTCCAAAATGCACTGCACAAATTGCTGTTATTCAGGGTATTTTTTTATATCATTATCATTTAAATCATTGGGAATTCCCAGGAGGAACTCCACGAGGAAACCAAGGCACCAACTAACCAAGATAATCCTTCAGATCACAATCAGGATTGTTTCCTGAGGCTCCAATGAGCTGCAGGGCTCCTCCACTATGGACCACAGCTTTCCAAGGAGGAGAACAGAATTTCTGCTCCTCTGCTACCGAGAGGCCCATGGGAGGGACCATTCCAGTTCCACATTTATTATATACAAATATCAAAATATTTATATATAAATTCAATATCCACACATTTGTATTGATAAATCTAAATATATTTTTATAGAAATCTATCTATTATATTAAATAATGCACTGACAAAGAGTGAGGACTCCCCAGCAGGCTGGAGGAGCTGGGGTCAGGCAGAGCTGACAGTCCCACAGCAGCCAGGACAGGCTGGGGCAAGTTAAGGAAACAAGATATAAAAGCAGGAGCAAGTTTCTTTTGCCTCCCTTTCTCCTTTTCAATGATAAAAGGGTGTGCACCAAGTTGTCCTGCACCAATCCAGCCACAGGTTTACAACCACCTCCTCCCAGAAAACACATATTTGTCAGAGGCACAGTGAGTATGACAGGCAGTCCCTCCCTCCACCAGCTCTTCCACTGTTCAAATTATCCAAGGAAAAGCTGCAATCCTCTTCCTGCTATTTATACTGCAGTTCTTCCACTGTGTGGCTGTGATTTTCATTTCATTCTTACTCATCAGAGGAAGTGTGCAGGCCCACCCTCAGCTGCTCTGCAGCCTGAGCTCACAAACCCCATCTCAAGATTCACATTCAAAAGGCCAAAACACTTGGCTTTTGTTTTTTCTGGGTTATTTTACTTTATTTTGGTTCACCTGACATGCATTTCCAGTCAAAAGAAAACCCCAGTTTTAAAGACCTGCACATACCTGTGGCACAACATCTTGCAGGAAGGTAACAACACTCTCCATGTAGGACTGTTCCCTTGAAAACAGAAGGAGAATTTCAACTCCCACTGAAGCTCAGAAATGGTCATGACAATTATCAAATAAGACACACAGAACCAGAGGAAACACGGAAAGGAAAATACCAAGTATGCAATGCAGTTATTCAATATACTGCCAAACACTGATAATATAAATATTGGCCTGTAAGTAATGAAAGGACTAAAGACAAGTAATAAAAAAGCTCAGTGACACCTGCTTATGGAATAACTGCTTGGGGGGGAAGTATAAAACCTAAAAATGAAGGAATAAGCCACGTTCTCCACATCAGGAAATTATTTCTCAGTATTTTTCTCCCTGATTTGGCTGTTACAACATGAAAATGAGGATTTAAACAGGGGATGGTGGGACAAGGAAGATTCCAGCCCTCCTGTGCATTATGTACAAGGATGGAGGAAGTGGCAGCACGAGGGGGGGCAGGAGATGGAGCAACATCCTCCCTAAGAATAGCAGGGGGAGAGGTATTTTCAGAAGAGATTTTATAGCTTGGGAAAGCTTATTCCTTCTTGGAAGTTCACCAGCAGCCATGATTTAGGATGGTGTGAAGCATGAGATGCATTTTTTTGGGGTAGATTTAAAGTAATGCTTTTATTAGCTTAGCCCTGCCCAGGTGGGGAGTGTCTCATGTAAGTGCTGAGTAACGTGGTGTGGGCTGAGCAGGTCACACAGATGGTGCTGAAACTATGCAAGAAGTTTGGGTTTTTATGCAGTGAGTAACACTAGAGACACTCTGGCAGCAAGAACTACCTTCACACAGTCTGGGACTACTTAAAAAAAAAAAAAAAACCAAAACAAAACAACTCTTCAGGCAACAGCTTTGGCAGCCCCCAAATTAACTTTTATGCTGTCACAGTTTTTTTCTGTGCTAACTCCAGATTTCTAAGAGCAACAAAGGGAACCTGTAAACTCCTGGATGGCCAAAGGTGCTTTCTGAAGCTCTGCAAGAGTGTTTTAATAGAAGTGGGAGTGTTTAGCACTGAAGAGTGAAGTCCTCTGAAGAATTAAGCACTGCACACAGCAATACAGAAGGTATCAAAGCCAAATGCTGCACCAGCTGGATTAGTTTTGCTCTCTGTTTTAGTTTTATCTGTGTTTTCAAAGTCTTAACTTTTAGAAAGCTTATTCCAGCTCGTGGCCAAATCAGCCTCTGTCCAGTAACCCAAGGATTTCTGCATCCCAGTTTGTGCCACTGCTTTAGGCTGAGGCCTCACAAACGAGCTGTGGGTGTCTGGTGCTGACTCCTCTCTGATTTATGTAGGTCACCCAAACTGCCCTTGCACACCTTCAGAGCCCTTGATTATAATGCTTGGCCACAGGCAGGGTGTTAAACACAGTGTCTGAAGGTCTGGGAATGCCTCCCAGCCAGAGTCATCCTGTCCCCATGGTTCAGCTCCTGGAATGGACTTTTCCCTCCCCCAGCTACACGTCAAAACAAATTTGATGTCAGGGCAATGTTTTATGCAGTGTATGTGCTCTAAATCCCTCCTGAGGCTGAAGAACTTCCAGGAAGAGGTCTTTAAAGTGCTTAAAAACAACATAAGCCACAAAATATATATAGATATATATATAAATCTTTCCCTAATAGGGATCTAGAAACTTGACATGACCAGCAGAATGCTGCTGTGCTGCTCAGCACACACAGCCTCAAAACCACTGACATTTGTGAGGTGAGCACTGGTACCTCAAGAACAAGACACCAGGTTCAAAAAGAACAAAAATAAAAAGAACAGATAACCATCACAATCAGCTTGTTGCAGTGTTGTTCTAGTATATTCTTAAAGCCTATTTTCAAGAAAAGGTCATTACAAAGGGAAGTGTGTTTGTGGAGGAATTCTGCAACATAAAAAAAAAAATAAAAAATGCTTCCTCTGTCACAGGGCTGCAAGACAAACCTCTAACACAACTTTCTGTGCTACAACAATCAGTTTCTTGTGCTCTCCAGTAAAAATAAAGTGAATCTTGATGTTTAAGCACACAGGGGTAAAAACTGAAGGGAATATTTCAATGGAGTGTTATCCTGCAGCAGTGTAAGCATCTCAAGAAAGAAAAACTGCTACAAAAATCCTCTAACAGACAGAAAAAAAGACCATAAATCTTCTAGGCTGTCTTACAGCCAAAAAGCTCTTTTGCCATGAAAGTATTTCCATGTGAACACAATGAAAGTCAGGATGCCCAAGGACAAAAATGGTCTCTTGGGAGCTCTGGCCAAAGAGACAGAGCTGCTTCCTTTCCTCTTGGTTTTGTTCTTTCAAGTATATAAAAAAAAAGAAATAGAATGCTCAACTCTACTTACTGAAGGACTTTAATGACAAGTTTTATGTGTTTTAATATATCCAGTCCAGGGGGTAAGGTGTTATTGAAGAGAACAGCAGGAAAGGAGCCTGTGCAGCATGTCCCTCTGGCCTAAGGAAGTTTGCACCATTGAACCTCCAGCCAGGACAGGGTTTGTGCAGCAAAATGGTGCAAACAACAACAAAACCATGCAACATTTCAGTTTTCTAAACCTGCAGCTTTGCTTTGGTGTACAAGTGCAAAGCATCCCAGGCAGGGAGACAAGTCTGACCTGCACCTAAAAGATGGGAATGAAACGTGTGCTGACTTTTGGAAAACCGCAGTGGCAACACAAACCCTCCCAGCTGGCTTGGAAAAAAAACACCCCACAAAACTCAGGCAAGGAACTCTACAAGAAAATAAAGAGCATTTCACTCAGGGCTGCTCTTCTAGAAGGTTCTTACGTGGCAGCTTGAGGCCGAACCACCACCCCTCCTGTGCATCGGCTGGGCCGGCGCGGGGACTCTGTCGCCATCGTTTCTGTGCTCACACCTGCAGGAAACACAGCCCTTTTTAGCATCACCTGTGCAGGATTGATTGTTACAAACTCCCTGGCATATTCTTCAAGGTGGTAGCAGAGAAACTCCACCCAGACAAACCTGTAGGCGCCTTCACAGCACTTCTTTTCTAAGCGAAAGAAAAGCACGCGCCAAAGCAGCGATTCCTCTTTGCAGTATCTCAGTCACTGCAGCTCCTGGAGTGTTTGTGGAAGCAAAAAAACACCCCACAGACCTGCATGACAAACTGGAAAAGCACCTTCGACTCTCAACCCTTTCAACCCAAACAATTCC